AGTCACTGCACAAGTTGCGTTAGCTCATCAGCTCTAAGTTCTGACGTCAGATTAAGGACTTAATGATCGAACAATTTGCAATTGTTCTTGTCTACTGAAGTGTCACTACGTCAGGGATAGGTGGGAAATTTTGAACTTGCCAAGGTGTCGATATGTCGGCACTTCTTTCAAAATGCAGGTTTGCTTTAATTTTTCTAATTTAAAATTATCTACTTTATATAGCAAAATTCATCAACACGTGCAATATCAATTTATTTGATGCCACACGAAGTATGTCTTGATAGCGTATTTATTTGGTATTGGAGGTGTGTGTACTGTATGTGTTAAGGCTTTAAGGGTAAAGTTAAATTTTCAACCTCTAACTTCAACCATAAACTATAAAACTGGATACAGGACACCCTTCGATTATTGAAACAAGATAAATTTGGTCCTCTGACTACTAACTAATTTTAACGGTGGTTTCCTATTTTTTAAAATAATAAAGATTTGATTTAATTATTCTCTAAAATTTTATAACTAATCTATTATAAATCAAATAAATATAAAACTAGTACCAATTATTTTATAAAAATATAATTTGTCTATTTTGGCTATATATTCAGAGTTGTTTGAAATTTATTTATTTGTATTCTTATTGTTTTATTGCTTGTAGTCGTGCTTATTATTTATTTAAATTACCGTTTTGTACTGTATAAGACTCGGAGATTGACCAAGATTATCGAAAGACATGAAAGATGACTACAACCCTACAAATACCATGCTTGTATAGATCCTATTCAAGAATTGCACTGCTAGCGCTTTTACTTTACGTTGGATTGTCTGATTAAATTATAGGCTTCAAACAAGATGGTGTCTCAAACACCATGCAATCAACTAGTTATGGAATCAACATAAGCGGATAAAATGATAATTTAAATGAAACTATAGGGCCGACGACAAGCAGCAAAACACTAGAACACATGAATGAATAAGATCCATAACTCCAAATAGAGCACCAACATGTAGATGCCATTTTTCTGATTTAAGATAAATTAGTTATGGATTTTTAGAGATTAAATTAGTTATTATTATTTTTAGATATTTAAAATCCATCTTTAAAACTATCCAGAGAGTTAAATTTATCCCATTTCAATAGTTGGAAAGCGTTAGGTAACCTGATCTCGTAATTCAGGATTAAAAAAATCAAACTACAATGCAAGTTGTATGTTGGAAATTGACTTGGCCAAAGTTAGAAAAAAAAGCGCCCCGACGTTCGATCTGGAACTAGCATCCGGACCCTGCTTGCACCGGGAGCGCCTAGCATGTCGGGCTCACGAGCGAGATCACCAACAGTAGGCCCGCGCCGCCCCGGACATCGTCCGTGCTGCCAGCCGCTTCCCACGCGCATCTCATGTGCAACACCTTGATCTATATTTGAAACATCTTGATGCAACAGTTGCAACATTCATAAGAAGACAGATGAAACACTTGAAACAAGCGTCTAAAACACTTGCGAAAACGCATGAAAAACATTTGAAAACCATTGCAAATATATACAACATCCAAATGAAACACTTGCAAACATACGTATGAAATACCTGAAAACACTTGAAACATATGCTCGCAACATGCATGTATATACAACATCTAGATCTATTTTTGCAACATCCAGATAAAACACCTGCAACATTCGTCTGGAATAGATGAAATATTTGGAACATACACTTAAACACATACGTGTATAGCCATTACAACATGTACATCATTCCAATCTATTTTTGCAACATTCATATAAAACGCTTGAAACATATATCTGAAACAACTGAAACACTTGAAACATATGCTTGCAACATGTCCGAAAATGCTTGAAAACACTTGAAAAACACAGCATTGCCGGTGGCCACGGCCTACCTGGTGGGAACTACGGTGGCACAAGCCTCCCCTTTCTACTGACGACGCGAGGTGGACAGGGGCACTGGCGCAGGCGCAGGCCTCCCCGTGCCTCCCCTTCCGCGGTGGGCGAGGTGGTTGGGGGCGCGGCGCTGGCGCGCGGAACAGCGAGGGAAGGGGCCGAGTGTCTCGCGGGAAGGAGCAGCGCGGGAAGAGCCGGGCACACGGGAGAGACGCCGGAGCAGGCGCTGCATGCTGGGGAGGGAGCGGGGAAGAGAGGGCGCCCTGTTGTGAGACCTTGCAGCGGCGGGGTCGGCTTGAGGTGCGGTGCGCTTAGAGTAGATGAGGAGGACACCACAGTCCGAACAGAGTTTTTTTATTAGAAGCTGGTTCATTAAAAGCAGCAGGAGGGAGGCAGAACTGGAGCCGCGTCCGACGGGACGGAGCTGAGCGTTTCCGAGGGTCTGTTTGGCAGGGCTCTAGCTCATCTGAAAATGGCTCCGGCTCTGGCTCCTCTGGAGGAGCTGAAGCCGTTCTGGAAAACGTTTGGCAAAACGGCTCCTTCGCACTAGACGACTTGAACCCACGACAAAGAGCCGCGCGAAGCTCGTTTTTTAGGCTTCTCCTGCGCAGGCAAAAAATGGCTCCGGCTCTTGACCGGCTCCACATACGGAACCCTTTCCAAAACAGACGTTTGGCACAGCTCCTACTGGAGCCAAAGCTGAAGCCCCTGAAGGAGCCCTGCCAAAGAGGCTCTGAAAGCATCTCCATCCTGGAACGGATGGAGCAAAACAAAGTTAAATTGGCATTTGTTTTGTTTTGAGTGCTACATCATCCATGTTGCTGGAACTTCAACTCGTTCGGGCGTTGGATTAGCCAATTCCATATTAGCAAACGATTTTTCTATTGCGACGTGTACGGACTCGCAAGATGGCAATCCATCTTCCTTTCCTCCTACACCCTGGAATTTTCTTTCTTTTCTCACTTTATTACTTCTTTTTTCTTTCATTATTTTTCTTTCTTCTCTCTATCTCACTTCATTTTTTCTCCTTACATTTTTTTCTTTCCTTCTTTTTTTTATATTAATCTACCCATTTTTATTCTGTATACTGTGAACAGATTTTTTAAGATCGAGAAATTTTTCTAGAACATAAGTTGTGCATAATGTTTTTGGAAGACATTGAACAATAAAAGCTTATGTGTATAAGTTATTCGAAAATTTATTATGTAAAGTCGTGCTATAAAAATTCTGTTGAAAATTATAAATTTGTTGACTATAGATATGAACAAAAGTTGAGTTTTAAAGGTTACATAAAAGTTGTCATGATAAGTTGTCTATAAATTAATATAAAAAATATTTAGAAGTTATGAATAGAAGTTGTGGTAGTAAGTTATGTCGCGCAAAATACTTTGCATAAAAGTTATGAAGTGTAACTTTCCAAAACTTAAAAGTTGTGTAAAGATATTTTCCAGGAAAGGAAAATCATAGGATTATCTCATCGTTTGTTGGACTCTAAAGGCCTGTTTGGAACGTAGAAATTTTACATAAATAGTGCATAAATCTCACAGGAATCAGAATCGATTTAATTTCACAAAAAAGAATGCAGAAACACGAAAATTTTCATATATTCTAAACACGCCCTAATCTGGCGAACGTCCGCTAATCAGTGGAGTCGGTCAGATTAGGATGACCAAATGATCGAAGAACCTGCAATCACACATACAAAAATCGTAGGAACATGAAGAAATTCCCACGGCGCTATCCGGACGGTGAAAGAAACCCAAAAAAAGGTGCAAGGAGGCCAAGCAAGCAAACCAAAAAGCAAACCCAGCAAGCAACATAAAAAATGTGCAACGACTAGTCCTTATCCTCTACGTCAATCGCAGAAAAATAATCTCAAAATCAGACAAGAACACTCAACACACAAGACACATACATATATTCTCCCTCGCTCTCAAACCCTTCCCAATCACGAAGAGCAGAGCAGAGCTAGAGCTGGTCTTCTTCCAGGCTGTAGAGCATTCTGACGAGAGCTCAGCTTTGCCTAGTCTTGCCATCGCAGAAGGCAGAAACACGAGTTCCTTAGAGCCACAGACCAAAGACACCAATCACCAAGAGCTAGCTACACCGTGAGGCGAGGGAAAGATCACAGATATCATCGCCTGCATCTGCGTGCATATATCAGAAGATGATCCCTTTCATAAAGATGAAACCTTCCCTCCACTAAAGCTCCGGGAGGAGGACGCAACAAGCAAGTTCACCGAAGCCACCAATGGATCAAAGACGCGTCACGGCAAGGCTCGGCAGCAAGGCGAGCTCGGAGCGGAGGATGCTGCGACGCGTGAGGCTCCCCTTCTGGTCCTGCCCTCCAAACCGGCCTCCAGGCACCTGAGCGCCCCAGCTGGTCTCGTGCTCCCTCCCCGGCTCCCTTCCCCATCTCCCTCGACCCTCCTCTGTCTTTCTTGGGTGTTCTTCACTCAGCTCTCGGATCTCCAACCCTGCCTGCCTGCCTGTCTGTACAAGACATGGCTCTGCTTTTCGTGTGATCTCGTCGCGAGCCTGTCTGCCTTGGGAGAAGGGCTCCTGTCTGGCCGTGTTCTTGGGAACCACCGCGTTGGTGCTGCTGCCGTGTGTTCTGCCTCGCTGCTGCTCCTTGTCCAAGCTTGGGAAACAAAGTTGCTTGGACTTTGCTGCCTCCGATCCGATCCTCTCGTCTCGTAACATTCTGGAGGCGCGTTCTTGGCCCTTGTGGTTGTGGCCGCAACTTCTTGGATCCAAGAGCTGTCCTGTCCCTGCCGATCGCCTGCTGCGCTGTTCGAGTTCGTTATATAGTACGGTTGCCCGCTGCACTGTTATTTTCTTGTGCCTCGTCGATCGTTGTCGTCGTGGTCATTCTGGAAGCTTTTCACGACGACATGGACATGGGCTCCGTCCCCTTCGCCGACCCCGGGTTCCTCGACGCGTTCTACTGCGGTGGCCATGGGCACAACGACTACGGGCTTGTTAGCCAGCTGGGAGCGTCGTCGACGTCGCCTGTCGTCTTGGGCGGCAGCGGACTGCTGGACCCTGCGGCCTCGACGGAGGAGGCGCCGAAGAGGAAGGAGACCACCGCCGGGACGACAAGGCGGCGATGGCGCTCAAGAACCACAGCGAGGCGGAGCGGCGCCGCAGGGAGAGGATCAACGCGCACCTCGCCACGCTCCGGACCATGGTGCCCTGCTCCGACAAGGTCAGTGCCCCTGTCTCCTTCTCGTGTAGCTTAGTAGTAACTTGTACCAGTGCGTGGGCGTTCTAGGTGGCGGGGTCGTTGCACCGGCGCGCTGGGGCTGCAATTCGGCTGTCCGTTGCCAGCGGCGCGCCGTGCCGCCGGCGAGGGTCACGCGGCTTGGCAGTGCAGCAAACTTGGTCACCGACTCACCGTGGTGGCGACTGGGCCGAAGCCCAGTCGAGGAAAACTCAACGATACCTGGCTCTAGGCCCAATTCGACCTTTATTACCATACCGAGCCCACCCCGAGGCTGAGGCCCAACTCTGTACCTGGCATGCATGCAGATGGACAAGGCCGCGCTGCTGGCGGAGGTGATAACCCACGTGAAGAAGCTCAAGGCCACGGCGGCGCGCATCCGCGACCACTGCGCCGTCCCGGCCGACGCGGACGACGTCGCCGTCGAGCTGGTCCAGGGCGCGCCTCCATCTACGACCGGCGGCGTCCTCGTCAAGGCGACGCTGAGCTGCGCCGACGGCGCCGACGTGTTCGCGGAAGTCAAGCACGCGCTGCGGCCGCTGCGGCTCAGCGTCGTGGGCTCCGAGGTCACCACGCTGGGCGGCCGCGTCCGCTTCACCTTCGTCATCATGTCGTCGTCGTCGTCGTGCGGCAACAGCGGCGGCGGCGACGTGGGCGCCGTCGTCGCGTCCGTGCACCAGGCGCTCCAGTCCGTCGATCGACAGGGCCAACTCCGCGCTCGAGTTCGCGCCGAGGGCGTCGCTTCTCAACAAGCGCCGGAGGGTCTCCACGTTCGAGTCCTCCAGCTCCTCTTCTTGAACCTTGACCGATCGGATCGGATGATTCATTCAGAGAAGACGAAGACGTACGTGTAAGCAAGCGTCAGGAGTTAGGTTATCCTCCATGAACCGAACGATTTTCGTCGTGTGCTCTCCTGACCTTACCACTGGCTAGCAGGTACAGAAGTTGCTGCACTGATTTATTTACTACTGCTACGACGTAGGGTAACTCCATGATGAAGAGTGATTCCCAGGACACACACTGAGTTACAGTGATTGTGTTGTTTACCTTTCACTACTTGTTTTGTACGAACATTTTTTTATCCCTGCATGCTTAATTACTAGTACTATTACATTTTTGATCAGCAATAATGAAAACTGAAGACTGGTACTACGTCGTTGTTACAACGATCGATGGTGGTGTTGGTTTTCAAATTTGAATCTCCCAAACATATATAATACCTGACCAATGCAATGCAAATCTCTCGGGCTGTTTCACAGGTGTTGATCGATTTTCAAATTTGAATATTGCAAAAAGATCGAGCGCTGGTCAAATTTGAATTTGCATGCACCTTTATACTGTATGTTGCTGGAAACAGTAGAACCTATATGTATATCAATAAAGAACCTATATATATACGGAGACGTCGGACGTTGCAATGAGGGTATGTACGTAGGAATGGGATTGTAGGAACAATATAATCCAACAGTGGTCTCTACTGTGGCCTCCACCATTGAGAGACTGAGAGTTGCTGATGAGGCCATGCGCATGACAAGGATCTCTGAGATCTCCAGAGAATCACCTGTCCCCTTGCATATGCATTGTAAATAATAATAAATACTCCTACATCAGCGTTCCAAGATGCATGCAGGAGCTAGCAATAAGTGCCTGTTTAGTTCTCAAAATTTTACAAATTTTTTCAAAATTCCTCGTCACATCGAATCTTTGGACGCATGCATGAAGCATTAAGTATAAATAAAAAATAAAACTAATTACACAGTTTAGACGAAATTCACGAGGCGAATCTTTTAAGCCTAATTAGACTATGATTGGACATTAATTGCCAAATAACAACGAAAGTGCTACAGTACTATTTTTCAAAAAAAAATCGTCAACTAAATAAGGCCTAAGAGATATTCCCATCATTCCATCCATGTGTTGCAACAGTCAAATCCACAGAGAGCATGCAGGCAGGCAGCAGGCAGCAGATCGAATCTGCTGGGCCGGGCGGGCGACACAGACGACCCTTTGATTGACCCGTTCTAGGAATCTCTCTCTTGTATCGCTGGCGGTTAACCTCGTGCAAGCACTATTAAACTCGGGTGTAGGTACTGTTGGCATCTGAAAGAGCATGCATGCATGAGCGTGAGCATGAGCATGAGGTCCATCCATCTATACCAATCAGTTCATCAGGCTCTCCCAGCTAGCTAGCAAAGCTATTTCAAGTGTGGTCTCGACTCTCAACTCTCATTAATTGCAACAGCTGCTGCTCTCAGCCGATGAGAACACATACGTACGCCTATATACTGTTGAGTGTTCATAGCCTACATCATGTTTGCATTGGCCCACAGTGAGCTCTGATCTGATGCATGGCTACCGTGTTAGGCCATGGCGATCACGAGCTTCTGCATGAGGTAAAATGAAAAGGTAGATGGTAAATAAAGGCACGTTTAGTTTGTACGCGTATATAGCTTAGAGGATTAGAGGCAGCTTCACCAGATAGTATAGGCTTGGTAAATGGTACTGTTAGCTTTGCCAGTGTGTGCGTGTGATGTACATGTCGGCGCCAATGATTTCCAGGGTCGCGTCGTTTCAATTTCAATGATCCAGCAACTCGCCGGCCCTCGGCACGCACACGCATCCTGCGGATCCCGGGGTTCTCTTCTCATCGATCTCTTTGCATTGCGTGCGCGCGGGTTGGACACGCGTACAAGCCATGCCATGCCAGGGCATGCAGCAGGGGCCGTACGTGCCTGGCCCGCCACTCGCGCTCCAGCTAGACATCGACCAGCCAGGCAGCCAGCTCACCTGCACTGCCGCAGAGTGGTGTGACGTGTGGTGTGCAGCTGCATGCATGCTAGCTAGCATCATGTATAAAGACCAGTAGTGAGTAGTCCATGCTAATAGTATAGTCGTACTGTACTTTGTTATATTATATTATATATAGTAATAATACAGGTTGGCCGGCTTGGGCAGGCAGGCCCTGGATTTGTTCCCTTGCGCCCTGCATGGTACGCCCGTGGAGACGAATAATGGCGGCGGTCCCGTCGTCCCGGACCCCGACCGTAGAGACAGACAGCCCCCTCGGCGCCCGGCTGATCCATCGACGATCGATCCGCCGGCACAGCGGCCAGGAAACCGTTGGAGTTGGCCACGGCAGAGGTGGATCACAGAGGCCACTACTGTCGCCGGGTATCGCCGCACAGTTGCGCGCGCGCGGCTGCATATATGTACTACCTCCACCCTAGTAGTAACAAGGTTACGGTTTAGTTTGGTTAGAGCTAGCCAAATTAAGCTAATTAAGTTTGATGAGTTTATGAAAAAAAATATTATCAACGCTAATAACTTGCTTGCATCAGCTAGAGCTAGTTACTAGTTAGGGCTAAAAGTTAGCTCAAATTAGCTGGAGTTGACCAGTTAGCTGGCTAACAAATGTTTGTAGACTTGGGTAGCTAACAAAATAGTTCACCCATTAGCCTCTTTTTTGGATGGGATTGGACTAAAAGTTAGCTGGCTTGAGCATCTCCCGGAGTTTTCCAAAACACATTCCCAATCTTGATTTTTTTGACAAGATTGAAAAAAATAAATCTGTCGGGTTCATAAATCCGGCGTCCCTCATGGACCGGCTTTCCGACAAAGGCTCGGCCCAACAGACAACGTTGCGAGCAACAAGCAGCTCATGGGCCGGCCCAAACACCTAAACGACAGGCCAGAAGGACAATCCAATCTCCGACCGGAAGGCCTAGCCGAGGAGGAACGACGCCCGCTTCCGACTCCGGCCCGCCTCTCCGACCGGAAGGCCTCGCAAAGGAGGAACAGTGCTCGCTTCTGACACCGGCCCACCTCTGGACGGCCTCTCCGATCGGAAGGCCTGGCCAAAACACCACTTCTGACTCCAACCCGCTTCTCCGACCGAGAATGCGCCGAACCCCTGCTTACAGCTCCTCTCCGATTGGGAACGACCGACCGGGGACGCCCGCTCGGTAAGGACTAGGAAACGGATGGAGAAAGTAAGGCAGGTGTCGGTGTTCCGGACCGGGGGGTCCTCAACCAACCAGTAAAAGTGAACTGCGTGCCCCTAATCCCGGGTGGTGATGCAAAAAGACACAAGGTTTATACTGGTTCAGGCAATTGGTGCCCTACGTCCAGTCTGAGAGATCGGTCTTGTATTCCTTGCACCAAAGTGCTTGTAGTAGGGGGTTACAAGCTGGGTGAGAGAGGGAGCTAGTCCTAGGTCTCGGCGTGGAACGGTGCGAGGTGCTTGAGACGCTGCTCTCAAGCTGCTCGGGAGCGTGGGTGTTACAAGATGTGTCTAGGGCGCATATGGGAGCGTGGTTCTATCGTATGTTCTTCTCCCCCCTCCCCTTTGAGCTATCCCTGGCCGCTTCCTTTTATAACCGCAAGGAAGGAGCCAGGAGTACATGAGTGAGCTACACGTGGAGCCTACTGCAGTTTAGTCCTGTAGCAGCATGACGTTGGGAATGGAGATCGGTACTTGTCCGGCGCGCCGTGCTGGCCAGGTTTAAAGTGGTTGAGGTCGTGGGGGTCCTTGTCGATGTCTAGTCAGTATGACTTCCACGGCCGGAGACATGCCATGCTTTGGTGGACTCTTGACCTGGTGGAGTGCCGAGGCCTGGCGGGTGCTGTAGCTGATCGTGTCGAGGCCTGCTTTGTCGAGGCCTCAGTGGTGACCTGTGTACGACGCGGGGGTCTCGGTGGTCCGCGTTGTACTCGGTCTGGGTGAAAAAGTGCGGAGCGGGTGTCCGCAGGGCACGGTAGTCCCTGCATCGTCAGTAGGGGATGGTAAAAAGGAGATTTGACCGCCGTTCCATCGCCCATGTTGCTATACCCTGCCAATCGTGGCTGACGTAGGTGTAACCAGGGGTACTTACATGGATGGGACGGCCCGCCAGAAGGGCGGTTGAGGCGGAGATGACGAGGATGCGGGACGAGCCCGGCCTCGGCCAAGGCGGAGAAGGAACAGTACGTCCGAGGCCCTGCCGGGGGGTCTCGGGCGAGGCGGAGAACGAGCAGCTGGGCTCTCCTGCTGTTGCTGAGACTACAGGGACCTGGACTTGACCTTCCACGCCGCTTTGTTCTTGGCACAGGGGTTAGGTAGCACAGGACAGTACGGGTGTCAGTAGGGAGCACAGTGATGAGCACAGTGGCAGGTAACCCCTGCTGCGCCCGGTCCCCTGTCCCGTCGGTCGTTCTGCCCGTACTGTACCCGCGTGCGGCTGACGTTTGCGGGAGTAGTTGGGCGCATTAATCCGGACGTGACGTTTTGTCAGAGGAGTTCGGTCGGGACGGAGGTTACGAGTTTGTTTGCCGAGCCCGGCCTCGAGCGAATCGGAGAATTGGCATCCTGTCCGAGGCCTTTCGGGGCGGGGCCTCGGCGAGAGGGCCTCGGCGGGGTGGGGAGCTTTTGGCCTTTCGCCTGAGGCCTCGGCGCAAGGCCTCGGGCGAATCGGAGAATCTGCTGAGACCTCGCGGTTTGATTTTTGCAAGGTTTAAGCAATATTTTTGGTTCTTGCTTAGGGTACCCCTTCTTGTGGTATCCGATAGTAGCCCCCGAGCCTCGAGAGGAGTGTGGGCACTCTCCTGAGGTTTTGTCGAGACTTGGCTTGCAACAGCTCCTGTTTGGGATTTGTGTTTTGTACTTGGTGGTTCTAGTGGGTGCGCACGAGCGCACCCGCCGGGTGTAGCCCCGAGGCCCTGGAGGAGTGGGTTTACTCCTCCAGGGGCTTTTTTTCTCCGTTTGAGCAAGGAGTTTTATCGTGTTTGCCGGGCTCATGAGTGCGAGTTTGGTTCGCTGGGACTTAGCCTAGTGCAGGAAGAACCCCCGAGCCTCCGCACGGAGCGAGAGGGCGATCAG